AAAAGAAAATGGAGATAAAAGATATACTGCTTCCAAGTACAGAGACAGAGTTAACTATTAATTTGCCAAACTGATAAAGTGGCAATGAAGGCTTGAATGGCGATCATAGTGTCACCCTACCAAAATGTAAGATATACAGACAATAGTAAAACATTGCATCTTACCATCAGAAAGGATGTTTTAATTGATACCTTAATAATTGCATGGAAGAGTTAATTCTATTTTGTTGGAAGCAGTTTTATGAGATTTCTGGTGTAACAGCAATGGAGTCAATTCCCTGTGATAAAATAGTAACTGTATAATTCAGTGTAATTGTTTAATTCAAAACCAGAAACAGCAAATGCTAATTGTTACCCTAAATTTAATAACACCTAATTGTGGGACAGCAGATCGTTATTAAGCTCAACTGCAATTTCAGAGTTTCTCTCCATCCTATCTCCTTGCTTTGTCCTTCTCAGTCAACCTCCTTACTTTATAAAAAGCCCAACTGCATCCTAAATCAATTTTAAACTCTTGCCTTTTGTTGCCTTGGCAGTTTACAATATAGCTCTTTTGTTCACTTTGTCCCCCAAATTAAATTTCCTACAGACCAGATCCTCAGCCAGCCTAAGCTGGCGTAGCTCTATCAACAACCACTGCTCTGCTGATCCAGACGATCGAGCCCCCTCCTATTAATCATTGGTCCTTTCCCCCATCCCCCAGGCAGACTGCACAGTGTTGGCAGGGTTCCTGTATCATCTGTTCATTCACTAATAACACTATTCAGCATTTATTGGGCCAGTCTGGCTCTCTGCACATTCAGCAGCAAAGCTGCTATTGATTGCATGATGGGGAAGCAGAATCAAGCCGTATAAAGTCACATTACTTTGTATCCCGAGAGCTGTGTGCAAACTACAATGCATTTAATTCACTAATGGTTTATATTTGTCTTGCTTGTGTCATAGTGAAGAGAAAACGTTTCAACACTGCCGGGGGACAGGGGTGTTTCGTTCGCATGGTCATTGTTCAGAGGATTTGAGAGTCACGGCTCAAAAGGAGAGTTGTGGGCTTTGCTCCAGCAAGGACACACCTTAGTAACCGTAAGGCACATTGCCAAAGACCTCCCTGCTAAGGGAGGTAAGATTACACAGTCTGTGTTGCCTGATTACATATATCAAACAAAATTGCCAGATAGAAATATTATGAAGGACAAAATATTTTCTGCAGAAAGAGTCAGAATGATCTCACTCACTCCAGGTTACCGCATCTACACTCTTGCTTTCCATGAAGAAGAAAGCCACACCAGGTCCATTACATTTTTAATTAAATGCTACTCAAAAAGGGCAACCAATTTATTAAGATAAACTATATATGCTTTAAAGAACAGAAATGAATGATTGACATATTTGGCTCTAAATCAACTTTAAGACTTAAAACTTTGAAAAGTATTACTGGGGACTATAATGCTTCCTAAAGTATCTCATAGTGTTTTATCAATGATAGCAGGGATTAAAATAACACAGAGTAGCTTTAAAAAATGAAAGGGTGCTTGGCATTTTGCAGTCTGTTTTGTTTCGGTTTTTAAATAGTGATGCTTTTACATAGCAAGAAAAATATATTCTTCTTCTTTAAAACATATTGAACACTAAAAATTCTTACTTCAAATATTTTTATTATGCCAATTTTGCAAATTTGGAAAGGTTCTGAAAAATTTGCAAAGCTCATCCATGCGATTTTTACTGAGTATATTACCTTAAATTAATTAATTATCTGTAGTTATTTCAAGGAGATTATTTTAAAAGTGTTTTAAAGAGTTTAATCTTATAGCATTGCAGTTTATAATACAGTATATAACACTTCAGTATAACAAAATGCATAATTGCAGATCTAACTGACAGCAAAAGAATGAAATATGTAAATACAGATACAGGCAGATATGCCAATCTCATTATCACTGATACGTAAATACCCACCACAGAGACACAACCTGAGCTTAATTTGTTAATACTGTCTAAAAAGGGAAAAGCATTAAAAAGTCAAGGAAGTGGTGTGTGGTGATTTATTTCCTCCCCAACCAAATTACTTCTCCCTGAAATAAGCATGACAAAAATGTTCATTTACCTTGACTCTCATTTTGGAGCACAACATGGTTCTGTTTCCATTGTAACAACAGTCTTACAGATTTAACATCCATACTTATCATATAGGCTCTTAATCCTGTGAAGATTTAAGTGCAAGGCTATCTTAATGCACAGAGTAGTCCTAGTTACCTTAGTGTGTGTTTTCTGCATGTGGAGCATCAGTGAAACAGAGCTCTTGTTTTCATGGTCATTATTTTTGAGTGATTTCTTTTTTGACAAAATTACTTTTTACTATAGCTACAGTTCCCTGAATACCAAGACTTTTATCCAAATATATTTGTAGCCCTGATGTGGCATCCTAATACAAGTAAATCAAATTTAAATGCAATCATAGAATCATAGAATGGTTTGGGTTGGAAGGGACCTTAAAGATCATCTAGTTCAGGTTGCTGAAAACCTCATCCAGCCTGGCCTTGAACACTTCCAGGGAGGGGGCAGCCACAGCTTCTCTGGGCAACCTGTTCCAGTGTCTGACCACCCTCACAGTCAAGAATTTCTTCCTAATATCCAATCTAAACCTGCCCTCTTTCAGTTTAAAGCCATTTCCCCTTGTTTTGTCATTAACTGCCCTTATGAAAAGTCCCTCCCCAGCTTTCTTGTAGGCCCCCTTCAGGTACTGGAAGGCCACTATAAGGTCTCCCCGGAGCCTTCTCTTCTCCAGGCTGAACAGCCCCAACTCTTTCAGCCTGTCCTCATAGGAGAGGTGCTCCAGCCCTCGGATCATCCTCGTGGCCTCCTCTGGACTTGTACCATGCCAGCTAAGAATCTTTGGGGAATTTCTGGCATATGGGCCAGGGGACCTGTGACCTCTGCATTGGCCAGGGACTTTTTCCCAGGCAGCCCATGGCTCCACCAAGCTTCTCCCCTGCAATAACTCTACCCTCTTTCAGCAGCTCATCCCACCCTGTGGTGCTCCACACCATGCTGTCCCAGCTGCTGCCTAAATCTCATTTCATTCTGTGCTGTGCCCTCTTCACCCTCTGTTGCTCACCTTTCCCTCCCCTTCCCTGGCTGAAACAGAATTGGAACTCAGTGTGGAGTAGCACTGGGTGACAAGGTGGCTTTGCACCAGGATGATGCACTACTTTGGATCTGCACATGAGGATGAAGGACTGCTGGGAGGGAAGCTGAGGCTGCGTGAGGATAAGCTGCTGGACGACAGAGAGGTGGTTAATGAATGGCTTAGAAAATGCATTCAGAAGTCTCACTAGGCACTCAATAATAAAGAAAAAAAAATATTCAGACTACTCCATGAGAAAATTTCAGCCCCAGATATGTCTAATTGTATGGGTATTTCTTACAGGTATTCCACAGGTATATCAGTTCCTGTAGCAGCTTCAATAATCCAAACAGCTGCATGGTTAGGAGCCCAGAAGTATTGGATTCCTGTACTTCACACTGTGCCCTGGTGTTTGTCAATTGAAAAGCTTTTAGTTTAGTTTATTTCAGAGGAAACATTTCCCTTTGTCCCCCCAAACACGTTACTTCTTGGATCTGGAGAGACAGAAATACTGCAGAGCCAAAGGCCGTAATCACAGGACCGGGAGGAGAGGAGCCAGGCATCCCTCTGAACCCAGCATCGGTGTGATAGGCTTTCTGACTGCCAGGTGAACCACTTCATTCCTCACCTTACAGAATCAAGACTTAAACTTCGAAGGATGCAAGTTTGATGCCCAACTATAACAAGTGACAGTTTTTGCTACAGCATGGGGAGTGCAAGCTTCCTGAAACTGGTAAAGGAGCATCTCTGGTACTAGCAAACAGCTGCTGAGGGGCCTCTGTTTTGTTGCATTTTCCTAAGATGTGGAATGGAAAAAAAAATATTTTCCCTACCTAGGACAGGGAACTGCTTGAGAGAGTCCAGCACAGAGCCACCAAGATGATTAAGGGAGTGGAGCATCTCCCTTATGAGGAAAGGCTGAGGGAGCTGGGGCTCTTTAGCTTGGAGGAGACTGAGGGGAGACCTCATTAATGTTTATAAATATGTAAAGGGTGAATGTCAGGAGGATGGAGCCAGGCTCTTCTCAGTGATGCCCAGTGATAGGACAAGGGGCAATGGGTGCAAGCTGGAACACAGGAGGTTCTGCTTAAACTTGAGAAGAAACTTCTTTACTGTAAGGGTGACAGAGCACTGGAACAGGCTGCCCAGGGAGGTTGTGGAGTCTCCTTCTCTGGAGTCATTTAATACCCACCTTGACACCTGCCCGTGTGATCTCATTTAGGTTCCTGCTCCAGCAGGGGGATTGGACTAGATGATCTTTCGAGGTCCCTCCCAATCCCTAACATTCTGTGATTCTGTGATTTCCTCTACTAGTCTTTATACTTGAGGTTCTCCAAAAGTAGAGGGTTTTCTAAATTGTAAAGGAATAAGCTGCCTGTATTGATGATTGTGCATAGAGTAAATGACTTTGAATACAACAAAAGCTTAGGTAATCTGAGCCTTAGACACTTTAAGACATGCTCTGACCTCACCAAGTCATCACCTGGTAGAAACAACAGCACTCCATTGTCTTACAGGAGCTAAACTCGTTTCCTCAACTAAGAATCTATTCCACTGACTTTCAGCTCCTATGTCAAGAAACACTTTGTATGCATTTGCTTCTCTGTGATGTGAGTTGTATTTTCTTGGCTATTGAAAGTAATTGAGAAGCAGAGAGAATAGGGTCTTTTGAACGCCTTTTTCACATGTTTACATGCTGCTTTTAATCACATTTGCAAGAAGATGTCAGCCTTTCAAGTACAGCTCTAAGGATGTCAGTGGTGCCATGAGATCAGGTCTCTGTACTGCCAAAGGCCAGTGACTGTCTGAGCTTGTCACAATACTTAATTAGGAAATAGTTTTTATTATGGAAACTACTTTCTTTGGCTTTTTTGCTTTAGGCTCTTCAGACATACCAGACTGATCCTGTCATGAGAAAGATGCTAACTCAGCTGTATTTCTATATCATGCCTGTATTTAATGTGGATGGATATCATTTTACCTGGACAAATGTAAGTAATATCAGTAGTATTACTCAAAAAATAGATCAGACAGGGAAGATCGAATGGTTGTTACATTGTTCAAAGGTGACTTTCTGTATAATCAGGTCCATCACTGTGTAGCATGCAAAATCGAAGTAAATTACTCCAGTTAAAGTATAATACTGAATATGTTTACCAGGGCTGGTTGTTATGTGTACAAATAGATTTTTGCCAAAATATAGTAATATTGCTCTTTCATTATTTTATAACTTATGTTAGGATCGATTTTGGAGAAAAACAAGATCAAAGAACACAAGGTTTCGGTGTCATGGTGTTGATGCTAATCGCAACTGGAAAGTGAAGTGGTGTGGTAAGTGTGGAGATGGTCCACCAGTTCAGATTACCCTGTATTTAATTACCCAACAGAGTAAGTAGGTTAGGTCACACTTCCATTGTGTTCTCTTTTCCATAGTAAAAATTGAAGCTTTCCCATAAAGCCACAAGCCAGGGCTCAAAACTTCCTTCTAGCTTCTAAAAAAAACGAAGTCCTGCACCTTGGAGAAATGCATCTCATCACAAGTAAAAAGTTTTCACAGCAAATGTGGCAAAAGTAAAAAACAGCACATACAGCTATTTTATATTTCTGCAATCATGTAAAGAATTCGAAGCACAGTATTGAGCCTGGCCCATCACATTTTAGAATTTACCTCACTACAGCTTTAGGAAATATTTAAAGCTTCATTTTATTTAATTTGTCATTTTTCTGAAATGGCTTTAGCTTTGGAAATGTCAGACTTGCTTTCTTGCCTCACAGAGAAATGTCTGAGAATATTTTAAGGTCATTATTATTAGTGATTTAATAAAGAAAGAATGTGCTTCTAAATGCATGGAGATCCAGTTTTAAGCTCCCAGCACTTCTGTAAATACTTTCATAAAAAATGACCTTAATTTTACATAGAGAATGCAGCAGTAATGAAATACTAGCAAAAGATTTGGAATGGGTCCACTGAAGAAGAAACGGTATTTTATGAAATCTTAAAGTGACACAGTGCAACTCACACAGGAGCAGGCAGCCATACAGGTTCTGGTGCAGCAGAAAGTAATAGCACTTTGTTGTGAAATACGGCGATATCTACCTGCTGCTGACCTCCTCTCCCATACTGAGCAACTTCCGCCACCTCCCTGTGCAGCTGTTTTCTCCTCCAGCATTCGTCCACCTTCCTTATTTACATTATAAACTTGTAAAGACAGAAATTGTGTTTGCACAGCACTATTGCAACAGCCCTCCCTTCAGCCTGTCCCTCTTCCCCTGGAAGTCTCTAGAAGTTTCTACACTACTCCAATTACTTACAGTAGGAGTAAGCACTGTACAGTCTGGCTTGCAGCAACTGGATTCTTTAAGTAGATTTTTGAGAACTGAAAGGATAAAACTAAGTGTGAATAGTCTGCCTGGGGAAAATACAAATGAAGTGAGCGTGAACAGAAGCATACATTCAATACAGTATGGACCTGTGAAATATGCTTCCAATTTTTTTCGACTCTGCTTGCGGTAAGGAGAGGACTGACACAGTAGTCGTTACAGAAAACCTGTTATCTGAGAATCCCTCTGCTGCAGAAGACAGTCCCAGGGCTAATATCGTGATCTTTAAGGCAATTTTATGCTGCAGAAATGAATAAAAATGAACCAAAGTCCTGCATCACTGTTATCATCTTTTACTTAAGTGCCTAAGTCACAACTGAAGGTTTGAGGACATACATTTACTGTTCAGAAGATAGCCACTGGCATAGTTGGAATGAACAGTTCTCTTACCAAGTCTTCAGAGCCATGTTATAGGTACCTATCAGTGCAAAATTAATACTCACACAGTACATTTTCTTTCTAGTCCTAATTAGTCATTCTTGCATTCAAATCACTCTGCTCCTCCCTCTTCCTACTCCCTAGCCACTGTATTAAAGCACACTTTTTACTCTATCCTGAAAATGTTTGCTTAGTTTTCAGTAATTTTTTTTTTTCTAGGCTGAATGAAACTATAACAATACACACGTGCATTGTGTGTTGTAATCCACTACTTGTTGTATTTTTTCCATGCACTGAATATGAAAGACAGATCCCCACCTCACGTATATTTAAAAATTCTTTCAGGGTTGGTTGTCATCCCACCAAGCACATGCTCTGCTTGCCTCACCAGACCCCAAACTTCAAATGATTCTCTATTTTGCCAGAGAATAAAGAGCTCTTCCATGAACTGAGCTGACTGGTGCTCAGAAGATCCTCATCTGGCACTCTATGTTCTCATTAGTCTGACACTAAATGAGGCAGAGAAGAATCTGGATCATATCATACTTTGAGGCTTGTACAATCATGGTCTGTTTAACATTTAAAACTACATATGCTTGTAAAAACCTTTTAATTCAGTTCAGTCGCACTTACAGTTTGCAGACAGGCTTGAACTTCACTGTGGGGCTTCCAGTCAGGTGTAGCATGGCAGAATCTGGCCCCAGCAAAGCCAGTGAATGCTAGCTGCAATGAGCTAGTTGGTAAAGCCAACACAGCATCCCTTCTGCTTTCCTCTTCCCTTCTGCTAGTGTAGGACATTGATGTACGCTTTATGATGTTGCTTCTGTATTCCCTGTGGACTGACAAAAGGGCCACATCACTGATTGTGGCAGATTTCACTGTGCAGCGCCCTGTACCCAAAATAGCACGAAGAAATTGCACACAGACCCAGGTGAATAATGACAGCAAAATCTCTGGGTAGAAATGCTCCTTGCAGTATATATACACGTGCAATAACTAGTACGATGGTTTAATGTTCATTAAATAAATAGCAACTTTAAAGCCAATAATGAGTTACTTAGAACTAAATTATGTCATAGGGCAAATCCAGTTAAAGGGGTTGCATCCGAAGCTCCCAAGAGAGCAGCAGTGGGAGTTAAAATTTCCAGTGCATCCCAATTTGCAGTGCACCCCATTGCTTACTGAGGACAGTACCTTCTACCACTGGCAGAAGAACTGTCTGCAAGGAAGTTTGAGAATCATGCTCCAACTCATTCATCCTCCCAGTCTTCCTTCTATACCAAAGCACTGGTTTTATCAGTCTCTGCACACATTTCCTTTATACATTTCATCTCATGATGGATGTTGGAGGATACTTGTCCTCCCCCTGTATGCTATCAGGTACAAAAATAAGGCAGGCATGGTAACATTTCATGCAATTCCATTTTCTGCTCATGACTGTAACTCAGAAATTTCACAGGGGTTTATACATACTGTATCATTTTTTTTCCTTCTTGTGTTACTTTACAAGAACTTCCAGTATGAAAATTGAGGATATCCTTACATTATCCAAGGCCACCATAGAAACCCTCTCTTTTTTACTACCAGCCAGCTTCACTTAAGGAAAAGCATGAACTACAGCTGGGATTGTAAATGGCTCACAATAGTAGACCGGACAGTTTAGAGAGTTTTTTCTTCACTGAAAGTCACTAAACTGAATAATATTTTACCACTGGGTCATTTTACCATTAGCTTATAGGATTCTGCTGTTTATTAACAGTGATGTCCATTTTCATGATTCAGTATACCATACTATTACAGGAGATGAAGTATCCATTAAAAAAAAAGCAAAGGCTCCAGAGGCTCTGTTAAATAGCTCTCCTTTAGCTATATTGTCTGACAGGACATCAAGGCAGAGTGCTCTTGGGATTTGGATGACTTGGTGGCCATCTGTTCTACAGGGAGGAGACCATCTGCCCTCTATATAACCCTTCCATATCCACTGCAATCTAAGCACTAATACCTTTTGAAATCCCCACCTGTGGCCATTGGATGGTAGCCTCAATTTTCATATTACAAATGAAGCTGCAGCATGAAATTTAATTTTTTTGGCATTAGGTGGATTGCTTCAACCTGCTTTAGTCCATATTATTATGCCTACTCACACCCTGCTCTTTTCTTATTATTTGAAGATGGCAGTACTTACTATACAAAGGAAAGCTAATAAAAAACTGCTTTTGTAAGTTCCTGATGACACCAGGGAATGTTGCAAACAAACTATTATTATTCTGGGGGTCAGTGTAAAGCATGAGGCATTTGGAAATCACAGTGGACAAAAGAGCTGTGTGGATTTGCATAAATATTGTTCCTTTAGGCCCAGGCCCTAAGCTGTAAGTGAGACGGTGGCTTAGATCCAGAATTCCTAAATGATAAAGGAGCCACAGCCACATCTCCTTTTCTGAGTTCCATCTTTCAGGACCTCATGAGATATGACAGGCAGGCTACACTTCTGCAGCTTACTGACACCTGAGCAGGTTGATGTGGTGAAAGATATTGAACCCCTGTCCCAAGCTTGAAGGAAAATTAAGCCCTGTGCAAACCGAGATGATTTCTATTTTAGCTAACTGAGCAATCATCCCATGTGGTTTGTCATATTTTTCCCATAAGGTTTGCAAAAGTAAAAATAGGCAGTAGTCAGGAACTATTCTCATGTTTTAAATCAGTCTCTAAGATAATGCCTGTTAAGGTTATCTACCTACCATTGTAACCACCACTGTAGTAGCTAGCATGTTAAAATGCTCTTAAAGGCTAGATTTGTCTCAGCAGTCACTACTGAAAGAGGTATAGCTCTCTGATTTCAAATAGACCAACTGAGACGCTTCAATAGTATTAATACTGGAATGCTATCATAAAATGTGCTGCTCATATGGAAAGCCAGGGAAGAAAATACCATGAAGTCAGGCTTGCCTTTTTCTGCTGGGTTAAAAATGTGTCCTCTGGGGAGAACTGTGTGTAGTTGGCCAATTGGCAACTTGGTGTGTCTACTAGATGAACAGGGAGATTGCTGTGCTGAGGTCCCACTGGCTCATGGCCATCAGTCACAAGAACACAATTTGTTTATTGCTTTTCACACTTTGGCATGCAGGCCCACACAGGATGAGCCAGAAGGCCACCCTTGGAAATTCTCTGTGATCGCTCACCATCAACTTTCTCTTTCAACCTCTAGATGAAGGTGCTTCATTTCACCCATGCGATGACACCTACTGTGGTCCCTTTCCCGAGTCTGAACCTGAAGTAAAGGCTGTTGCTCATTTTCTCCGCAAACATCGGAAACAAGTAAAAGCCTATTTGTCCTTCCATGCATATGCACAGATGCTGCTGTACCCTTACTCTTACAAATATGCAACTATTCCAAACTTCAGCTGTGTGGTGAGTACATTAAAACCTGGGAGAATATACTTCCCTATATAATATTTTTTGGTATATTTTGTTTTGAGGGGACACTTGTTTCTTTGATACTTTGCACATGTTTAATATTGAGCTGTATTTATTCTGGATCTGCTTGAAATCACATTTCTGGTTATATAACCTTCACTCAAAGTGAGTCAACGGTAATTTGATTAAAATGTTATAGTGCCTTCCATCCATCAGTCCCTTTAAATTACTTTATAAGATAAATCCCTGGGTTTTAATTATAGTTATTATAATTTTATTTAATTAACTGTAATGGGAATTATGTAGTTAAGTCCTTGGGCATCTAGCTGAAAATCTGTCTGTTCATGATCAGAACTTAAACACTAGGAGCACAAAGGAGATAATCTTCAATGTTACGAACAAAATAAAATTGAAATTGTTTATGTTTATCAATTAGAGGAGAAATCTCATAGATTTCGCCAAAAGTAAAGCTTCGATTGCTTTATGTATCATCCTGCTCAGACGTAGTGGTTTTAACTCTTTAAGGCAAGCAATTAATTAACATTGGGGCTTTTGTCTATTAGAAGAATAAATTAATAAGAATACTTTTTTTGATGCAAGCCTATTGATTTACAGATATGTACATGTCACGTATTCCGTGCTTATCCTAATGCAGAAGAACTATTCCCTCTGCTCACAATCTGATGTCTGGTTTTAGCCAGCCTCCTGTACCCTCCCTATGGCTCATCCTCTTAGGGAAACGTGGCTAAGCTTTACTTTCTGCTTGCTCCTGCTCACAGACAGACATTGCAACAACCAGTTGCAAACCTCTTTCATTCACCCTCAGTGCCCAGTAAATTTACATTGTCCATATATCTCCCATTTTGTCCTTGAAAGGTGCAGTGACTTTTAACTTACTAGTTTAAGCTAGTTTACTCACTGGAGCTTAACTGCACTTTAGATTTATCATGTGCAGAATAAATGATGTTGTCAGTCCCTGGAGCTTTGCTGGAGTTTCACTCGGCTGCCCTCTCAGGAGGCTGAGTAGCCAGTGCTCCACAAACTAAACCCTCTTTGTGAGTTTATTTCTTAAATTCAGCAGCTACTAAACATTATCCTGTCTGATGTCATTCCTGGGAAACAGAGCAAATTAGAAGTTAACTAAGCAGCCAGAGGAGTTAAAAATATGACACTTGTGGGGACTGACCACCCAGCTCTGCACTGACTGTGAATAAATCAGTGAATCTTCTTTTGATTCCACCTTCTCCACCCTCTTTTGGGGAGCAGCAAAGAGAAAGGAGCTCCCCAAGTGAACTGGTGACTATTATCTACCAAAAAACATAAGACTGGCAATTTAAAACCACAGGATCTCATTCCTTTGAAGACCAGCAGGTGCAAAAATATTTTTTTTAAAAACAGACAACACAGCAGAAGGTAAAGACATGGTGTTAGGAAGAATCAGCATCTCTTCTGCAAGTAGATGATTACTGAGTATCTGATAAAAATATCCAGAGTAACGTAAGGCAATAGCAGACACTGTGATAGGAAATCCATTGTAAAGAATAAAAGTCTCAGAGTTTTCACACATATCAGTAAATCTTCAGTACATGTTGTTCTTGTTGCTCAAGGACTATTTCCATTCTGAGACAGGGAATAACTGCCCCTCAGCACACACACTCTATCTTCACATCCACAGCTTTCAGACCAAAGGAACTCAGTTTTTGATGTGTAGTAGGTGTTCCTCAGGATTATGAGACCTTGGATCAGGCTTCTGGAGCACAGACCTAAAGGGACAAAGACAGGCACTGTTTTAGACAACGGCCCCAGACAAATGGAAGCCAAGTCCCAATTTTGCCAGTATTTGGACTGTCTACTTCATTTTATTGCAGTGGGTCAAAAAGAAAAGGGAGGTTGGAATAAGAAACTGAAGTAATTTCCTGTTATTTAGAAAGCTCTTTATAGGCTTCATAGTGAAAATGAATGGAATACTGTTGCTTATTTATTTGTGTGCGTTTACTATTTGTCTACAGCCAAAGGCTCCATCATCTGGTGGCTCCTAAATGAATAGTCTTTAATATTTGAAGTGTCTAAAATGGTGACTTAGGCTAAGGTTTCAGATTCTCCAGTTCTCTTGGAAATTACAGTGAGTTGGAAAGTGGCAGATCTCTATTTCCTGCTGCTGACGGAACAAACTTCGTTGGTCTACATGAACTGTGTACGGTGGACAACTGTAGGACTCCACATGCATAGCAGATAAATAACATCTGGTGCTAACAGGGGGCCACAATTAACCCAAAGCAGAAGAAACGATATTTCTGTCTGGGTCGTATCATTCTAGTGAGCTGCCAGTTACCATTTCGATTAAAGTGGTCAATTATTCAGAATTGCTTTGAAGCTGGAGAGCTGTGTACTGATCACAACATGTATATTCTGCTCTAATTTAGGCACAACTCTCTTATTAACACCCTCCTGAAATCTGTTCTTTTAAGATAAGTAAAATGAAAGTGCACTTTTAGATTGAAAAAAAGAGCAGAAACATTCATCCATCTCGAGAGTGTTAAGTTTCACCTACTTTTCATCCCTTTTCTTCCTCTTCAGTCATTTGTCTTAGTGTTTGCATTGAACTTATATGGCATGACTGAGGTTGTGTACATCTTTGTAAAAATCTGGTAGCTTTCTGTGAAGCTTTCTCCTTGAGGGTGTTCAGAGACTGGTTGCCTGGATTTATTCAGGATCCAACCTGCACAGTATGATGCAATTGAGAACTGTCCCCTGCTTTAGGCACATACCTTCAACAGTGGAAGCAAGCAGCACCCCTTAAGGCTAAGAGCATCGGGTTCACAGCACCCAGGGACACCTGCCTACATGGTGGATGTGGACTTGGATCACTCCCAGTCCGGCCTCCAGGTGGTTACTATCTCTGCACAGAACCCAGTATTGTTGTCTTGGCTTTAAATGGGCATTGCCAAACTATTTTTTCAGACTGATTTCCACACGGCTTGCTTCTGTTGTCTCATTGCTGTACAATGCATAGCTTATGCACAAGGAGTCTTCTCCTTTGTGGCTATGTTCTCCTTTCCATGGCGCGTTTACCAGGACATTGCTCTCCACCCACCTCAGCTCCCTCAGCTGAGCCCTGCCTCCCATTCCCTTGGCATCAGGCCTGTTGTCAGGCCATCCCAGGTCCACACCACAGCCCTGGGATGGTAAGCACAGCTGCCTGCCAAATTTCTGTTGAGCAACTGAGCCTGCTACCTGGGGCTTCAGTGGAGCAACTAAACCTGTTACTCGGGGCTTCAGTGGAGCAACTGAGCCTGCTACTCGGGGCTTCAGTGGAGCAACTAAACCTGTTACTCGGGGCTTCAGTGAAGCCACTGAGCCATTCCCTTGGCATCAGGCCTGTTGTCAGGCCATCCCAGGTCCACACCACAGCCCTGGGATGGTAAGCACAGCTGCCTGCCAAATTTCTGTTGAGCAACTGAGCCTGCTACCTGGGGCTTCAGTGGAGCAACTAAACCTGTTACTCGGGGCTTCAGTGGAGCAACTGAGCCTGCTACTTGGGGCTTCAGTGGAGCAACTAAACCTGGTACTCGGGGCTTCAGTGCAGCCACCAGACAACAGTCCCAGGCTGCAGCTGCAGCTCCCCACTCCCTGGGGCCCTGTGAGGCCCCACTGCCATCACCACAGCCTCGCAGTGCCAACCCAACACCCTCACAGGGTCCAACACCTCCAACCCCATCACGGATCTTGTGTGTCACGACTCATAGAAGTTGAGGCATTTGTAAGAGGAAGGAGAGTCCCAAGCGATAGCACTTCCCCCTTCCTCGGACCTCCTCCCGCCTCCTCATCTTTGGTGTTAGGGTGGGTCAGAGGTTACCCCTCACACCGGCTGGCGGCCATGACCCAACCCGGCAGAAGTTCCCAGAAGCATTGACTTCCGCGGTCCCTGCCTATGTGCACTCTCTCATGGAGGTGGCAAGAGGAAGACAAGCTGAAATCGTGTCAGTCTCTGGCACTATCACCCCTGTGCTGAGAAACAAACAAAAAATCTAGCTGTGCCTAGTGGATTTTTATAATGGAGTTTAAAAAGTGCTCTTCCATTTGCCAAGAGCAGTTCTCAGTGTAAAATAAACTCTCCAAAGCCCTACTTGCCCTTCACAGTAAGTGAAAATGAACTTCTTTTTTTGTTTGTTTTTTTTTTTTTTTCCTGGAATGAACTTTCAAAGCTGTTTTCTCTGGCTTCTCTACTTCGGTGGACAAAGACCCAAAGCAGGAACACCTGCATGGGTCAGACCAAGGATTAAGCCAGAATCCCGATTCCTGACAATGGCAAACTAGTGGAGGGTTAGGGAAAATGTATAAATGGACAAGCAAGTAGAGTAATCCTTCTCCAGTGCTCCATTCATCTCGTGCCTGATAAATAACAAGGTAAAGACCAAGTTCATGAAGACTTGCATAAACTGAAACCTACAGCTCTTCAGTTCACACAAATAAAACAGCTAAAACAGCCACTGCAGCTTTACCCAGTGGTTCAAAGTCCAGCTCCAAAGATGTTCATTTCCTGCTCTCTGTAGAGAGATGGCTCTGTTTTTTTCCTAGATATTCCTGGCCTTTACCGTACATTCTCCAGGATCCTTTTCTTTGGGATCATAATATTACTTTTTATTTATACATTCTTCCTTTCTCTGTGTTTGGATGCACTATCCATGTGTGACCCTCAGAATTTGCCATGGACCAGGCCTTCTGCACCAAGTTTCACAGGATGCTATGGAACCTCCTAAACAGACTACATCCATATGGATACTGAAATTTAGGTCCTGATTTTCCCCAGACAGTACTGAAATCCCATTTCTGCAGTAGTGGAAAGAGTTCTCCAAGCCTACATCATCTGGCCTCAGGGAAAGTTAGACCAGCAGTGAACACTGACCTGTTCATCAGAGATTCAGGAGTGGAGTTTGCCTCCTTCTTCTTCGCACTCTGCTCACTAAACCACTGTGGAGTGTCACCAAGATATCATTTCTCCTTCATAAGTCCAGCAGAGATGAGGTTTAGTGAACTGGGAAATGCATCCGGAGAAACTGGCAGAAAACACATGCATGACTTTTAAACTGCATAAAAAAGAGATTATTTCATCTCATGGTCTTACATTGCCTAAATTTGTTGTGTCTCTCATTTGGTATATATACCCATAATTACAAATACTTAATGGCTGACCATTCACAGTGCAGTGAGCTTCTTTATGCCATGAAAATACCAAACGAATTTTTTCAGGGTATTAAGAAGAAATTGCTGTCAATAAAAATAAATAATGTGTTTATCCTTCAAAATAATTTTAAATTAGCAGCCATGGACTCACAGAACACAGCATTGCACCGGAAGTCAATGATCCATAGCTCAGGTTCCAATCCTATTACAGTATTTAATTCAAAGTCTGATTTATGTATTTTTCTCCTCCACACAGGAATCAGCAGCCTATAATGCTGTTAATGCTCTTCAGTCAGCCTACGGTGTAAGATACAGATATGGTCCTGCATCTAGCACTTTGTGTAAGTTTTCCTCTGGCACAGGTTTGTGACTTTGACCTACCTGTAGTAAGAAGGAGATTACCCTTGTTATAACAAAGAAAGCAAATACTTTTTAAAGTGAACTTTGTTCCAGTTGTGGATGGTGGGGAAGGCGGAAGATGAAGTTTTGTAACTAAGTCAGTCAGTTGATTGCAGTAAGATTAACTGAATTGATGCAATAAAAGAGATTAAAATGCAATGCATTTAAGAGGTGAAAGCCAGCAAAAAACATGTTCAGAATATATATTAAAAAAAAATTTTTTTAAAGGAAAGATAAAACAAGCTCTTAAAAAGCGTATCTTTATCCGATACTGTAAAAGTACTACTAAGTTATAAAATTATTCTGTGAAAATATTTGGGAGGAAATAATTCAAAGTAGGTTTCATTTTTCACCATTGCTTTGTCTTTCCTTCTATGCAATTGTGGTAGATACAGCTATTCACAGAGCTCATTATAAAATTTAGGGTGATGTCTTTAAAAGCTAGGTTTCAAATGTCTCTGTGTCTAGATTATGATAAATGATTGCAACAGTATCTTTATTTGGACATCTTCCATTTTTCAGAGAGTGATTTCAAATGCATTTTTCCCTATAAAAAATATTTTTAAAATATGCCTTTTAAATATGTAAAAATATTTGTCAGGCAAGCTCTCCACATAGAGAAGTAAGAGAAAAAGAAGTTCAATAGGTTTCAACAAGACACTTTTTGTTTTACTGAAACCATGAGGCCTGAATGCAATCAGTAGGGATAACAGACATTGAAAAAGTGAGAAGCTTAAGTAAATAGCAAGATTTTTCACAAGTAATCACCTGCATCTCGTCTGCTGTTGCTGTGTTTTGGCTGGAGCTCCACGTTTTTGTGGGCCTCCATCTCACAGCACGGTCGTTGTCTTATGCCCATTACAGTGCAGTCAGGCGCTATGTCAAAGGAAGAGCAGTGTGAATTAATGCCAGAATTGCACAGAAGACAGCAGGCCACATGAGAGATGGATCTTTATATAAATATAAGTGTCTTGGGTAATCAACATATGGAGATAACGAAAGCGTAAGAAGCACGCTTCCTCAGGAAGGTTTGTTAATATTAGACACCACCTATGCAAATGCTCTCATGCTGTAAGGAATGGTGAGAAAACAAGACAGAAATTAAAATAAGAGGATTTTAAAAGCACTTTGGAAAGGAGAATGTAGATTTCTTTATCAACTTTCTCCTTTCTCCTTGCAAAGGAATTGCCTAAAAAAAACCCAAGTTAAACCTAGGAGCATGAAGAGCTCCAGTCTAGCTGGAAGATCTTTGTGGAAGCAAAGCTTTAGACTGCACTTGCCTGGGGACAGGAGCAGTTTGAGGCTTTATGCGAAATGTTTTTTATTAAAGTTTTGCTTTACTCAAAAAAGTCAGTTATTAATTTTTTTTCCTGTGAAAATCAAGGGTCTAATCCATATTGTGCTGAGCACCTTTCACCAGGTGCTGGGTGTCCATGCCCATCTCTGAAGAGTGTTCAGGATCAGAGCAAGCAACTGGACTTGCAAGTATATTCACTGATTCCTGGAGACAAAATATCACAAGAATCCTCTGCTGCTTCCAACATGGCCTGCATTTAACATTTTAAAAATTTTTCTCTGAATTCCCTCTTTCAGATGTGAGTTCAGGTAGCTCTATGGACTGGGCCTACAAAAATGGCATCCCCTACGCGTTTGCATTTGAGCTGCGTGACACCGGCCATTTTGGATTTTTACTTCCCGAGACACTGATCAAACCAACCTGCACCGAGACCATGCTTGCAGTTAAAAATATAACTCTTCATCTGCTGAAGAAATGTTATTGAGAGCTATTTCTAGGAGCTGGAAGTGAGCGTTTTACTCCCAGTGCTGATGCCTTTCAGTGTGCTCAGCTGCCATTCTTAAGCTTGGCCATTTCAAAATTATAGAAGCTAATGGGAAATGTAGTATTGTTTCTACCAGATTTACTTGGTGGGAAATGGAAAAGATCATTTAATAGCTGCTCTACAGAAGTCCATAAAGTTGATATACTAACTTAGTTTCCATTTTGGTGTAAAATAGTCTGGGGTTTTTTGCAATAAAACTTTGATTCTGCAACTTCAAGGGGCAGGTCCAGATCCACATACAGGTGCCTGAAATAAAATTCCAATTCCAGACAGTCCATGACCTTACTGTTTCCCTAACAGGAAGATCTCCCTTAGTAGGGTCTCTCAAAACAAGGGATAAAGTTTACATTCATGTGTATGTACTCTGTGACCCAACACAGGCCTGTGTCTATAGCAGTAAATGGCGTATAGTTGCAGCTGACAGTGTTGCGATTGGCAATGTGGCTTCCTTCTGCATGTATACATACATATGTATAAGCACTTTTGTGATTTTTTTTATATAATGCAAGAATTTGACTCAAGGTTTCCTTTAACTGTTCAGAGAAACCTATTTTCAAATGTATATGTTAGGGTGGACTCAAAATCAACACACTGCCTTTGAAAATGTAACTCTTCTAGAGATGTGTAAGAATTCTAATGAAATACTATTGAGATATACAATACTCTGCTTTATGGAGAGACAAAGCAACTTGCCATGACTGGGAATTTGTAAGCTGGCAGTCAACTGGTGCCTTTGGGTTCTGCTGTAGCCAGTGTCTGTCCATTTCCAGTCAAGGACCTAGGCTTAAACTATAATTAACTGATGTTAACTGATGTTTTATTTATGGGTATTCTTGCAGTGAGTTCTGTAGCTCTATGGCTATGTGGCTGCTCTTCTTGGAAGATGTATTTTTTGCATGTTTTAAAAGAATACTAGATTCTTAAGTGAGTCAGAGGTGAAAGCAGAAGCTTTACAGCTGAAATACACTAAATAAGTACCATGTTTGAAAGAATAATAATGAAAGCGCAGAGAATATAACAACTTCTTGAGGGGTTTTTTTGGTACTTTAAAAATACTATTTTTTTGATCTTACTATATCTGCAAAAGCATATATTTTACCTTATTGAGTTTAATCTTATGCCATAACATGTTAAATAAAACATATTTGTTAATAAAATCATAAAAGGCTTTTGAAGTATTCTTCATATTTCATTGAATTGTTAAAGCTTTAGCTCAAGGATGTGACAATGTTACCCATCTGTAAAACTCTACTGACACCAAGGATGTGATATTTAAAAAATCTACATCCTCTCTAAATAAGTACTTTAATGTAGCAAATGGGCAACCTTTATGAGACTAGGGACCGCTGTAATTAATCAAGAATACCACTTTTTTCAGGACTGCAAAAGGCAATCAATGAGCAAAGATGACAGAATTGCATTCTATTTGTTTAACGTTTTGTTAATAAAACTATTTATTTTAAACAAGCTTTCTGAAGGCTTGTTCAGATTTGATAAGTTTAAAATTGTTTGAGTAATGCAAGATTCTGTTCTGGTTTAATAAAAATCTAGGGGACAGAAGCTCTCAAAATATCTATCTACTAGTCATTTCAAATTGCTTATGACCACAATCATTAAATATTTTAAAGACAGCAATAACTGTCTTTTGCTGTGCACAGATTCTTGACCAACAGTCTTGATAGTGGTGTAAATTAAATATTAGCTCCAGTTGTTGTGAGTTATTCTGGATTTAGGTGACAAGATTGAACTACTACAAGGACATAAGAGACCGAAGTGAAGGACAGAAGGCACGAGAGATGCCTAATCAGCATCAGGCAAATTTACCTCTGGATTGCTACAGTACAAACCTTTCCAAGTATGGGCCAGGAGAAACCAGATTCAGATGCGGTGATTTGATTTCCGCTTGTAGTCCAACAGTTCGTCAGATGAAACATTTTGGCTTTATCTTCATACCATAACTTCTCCACTGGTACTGAAAGGTAATTGAACTCTTGGAGCAAGAAAGGAAAAAAACCCAACCCAAACCAAAACCCCCCAAACCTCCCTCTTTTAGTTACCAAAAGGACCTTACATGGTAGATCTAGTTGAACTTCTTGGATAGGAGTAACTGCAACTATTCTTATATTTATCTAAGAAGCTTTGACATTTAGTAGCACTTGATATCAAAAACAGTCCATGAATAAAGCTACATCCAGGTATTTGGATGAACTCAACCTGAATACTAAGTATTACGTGCAACTGAAAACTCTGAGCTGAGCTTTGAAGTCCTCTGCAGGTCCTCTGCAGGTCTCCATAGTCAAATACAAGTGTATCTCTGAGCCCTTTAATTTCAGGATTGCTAAAGCTGATCAGAAAGATAGTCACTAGAAAAGAACAACCCCTATTTCCTGAATTAAGAATCTGTAAGACAATTTATCAGCAAGCCTGATTCTAAATAGAGTAGAACTACTGGAAACCAGCTGTTTTGATATGGAACAACAGCCTTTGTGGTTTACAAACGTTACTTCTCTGAACAGCTCTTTTTTATCTCCATAATCACTTCCTTCCCTTCCCTTTGTACTTCTCTTCAGCAGACTTTATTGCCTACAGGACAACAGAATCAATAACTGGTTTTAGGAAAAGTTAATTTATTTTATGATTGTAGGTATAGTTTATCTTTCAACAACAAAGAGTATGTGAACAGCAAAACACTGGTTATTAACCCAGCAGTAAGAATCACACATATAATGATGTGAAATCCAGGAGTTACACTTCCACCAATTATTAATAGAATAATTAAAATCACTTCTGCAACTTGTAAAAAGTGCTCAGTCAAGTTTTTGTGAACATCTGGGTTTTTTTGTGATAGCTTTTATTTTTTATAAACAAAACTCTGAGATTAATTAAGGTGAAGGAAACAGGCCTATGCCTTTTCAAGTCACGCTTCCCAAAACAATTATCCCAAATTACCTTGAATCATCATTTATAAATTGATTAGAAAGTGGCCTTTAGAGGTCAAATAAGGTATTAAGTTTGGTTGCAAACCTTGAAGAAAGCACACAGCTCATGGGTGAAGCTCCCTGTGTGTTTTCCAGAAGTTGTTTCAAAAAGGCCAAAGTATTTGGTCACTTGTGTAACATGTGAAGCCTATGCAAAACTAAAATTCTTTTTTTTAATTTCTGAAATTTTAATAGAAAGAATCCAAATGACCTTCAATGCCAACATGCATTTACTTTGAGACATCCAGTGCCAGTATGCTTTGTCTACAACAAGCTGCAGTGCGCAGACTGTGCTGCTTACTCAAGGGCTGTGCAAATTAACTTTATTGAATAGACTGCATCTAATTCTTAATGTTGGGAAGAAAGTATTATATTTCCTACCAAAAATAAATTACTATTCAACTATTCTAGTTTATTCACATTAAACAATCTGTTCCATTTTTATATATACATTCAATTTAATGGTATCACTCAAAAGAAGATATTTGGTAACATGGGTAGAGTAATAACTATTTTTGTAAGCCTTTGACCTTTCCTTTGGCTATGCAAAACTACTATATCATTTCCATAGTCCACTGTTATACAGCAGTCACATTCATTGTTAAAAAATGTTAGTCTCACACATAATGACTTCATGTTTTTGATTGCTGTGCCTAAAAGCCAGATGCTACCATTTTCATGCAGTTCTTAAGTGATGGTTAAAACATCAGAATGATATTTCAGATGCATAGAGATACAACTACCCCTCTGCTGTAGAAAACAGGACAAGAGAAGAGAAATTCAAATAAACTACAGAGAGACTTTTTAAATACCAATCCCATGATATTAGCTATAATTCTTTAAAAACTTCTTTAATTTTTAAACGCTCACCACACAAAATATATTTTTTGAGTTGTAAATTGAAAAGCCTTCTGTCCACAGAAAACATAGGCCATTTGACATGCTTAATGTACGTCCGATTCTCATACTCATTCAGGATAAAAAAATTAAAGTCCTAACAGCTGTAACTGCGTCCTCCTTCACTGTGTAGGAGGAAAACGGGGTGTGGAGAGAGCTGCCTTCTGGCTGAATGCATCAATAGGCTTTCAAGCCCCATCAGCACCATGAAGTCAGGAGTACTGATGTTGTTGGCAGGTCTGTCTTGGAGGAAGGTGAACAACTCCGGAGTGGTTTTCACAGTCCTCAGCTGAACATGCCCATCGCCCTAAGTGTGATGCACTGGTTGAGCAGCTTGTCAGAAATACACAGCCTTAGGCAGTATGTGCTGTCAGAAGGGCCCACCTTAAGAACAAGGTCTTCTGTTAATATCTGCAAATTTGGGATAATTAGAGTCACTCCAGAGCAGAGAGCTAACACATGGTTCTCCTTGGCAAAGGATGTTTGGGGCAAGGGTATTTAGAATAGGCAAATCTTTAGCCCCTGAATGCCTGTTCTTCCTGACAGGCAGGAGCAGTCAAGCAGAAAGTCTTGGCTCTCTCTGCTTGCAGATCCTTTCAAGCCCTCTCCTGAGAGACCAAGTCAAGCTCGGCGGGGCTTGCCCTCGGATTTAGACATCAGGGAATACACTCATAAATAGTAGATTCGAATGTTAATTAAAAAAATCTTCCACTGTCCCCAGCCGTGCAGAAAGTGCACTTTGCCTGAGACAAAGAAAATCCATCCATTGCCATAAAGACACAGGTAATATATTTCACACGTCCTGCTTGTTTTTAAGAGTCCAGCCACCTTAGCCCTGCTCAGCGTTACTGAAAAGACATGCAGCAGAATAGCCATAACAATGAAATATTTTAATCTGCTCCCAAGTCTGTAGGAGCATATACTTTATCTCAAATAATAGATAACAGCTTAAATGTTGTGGTGCGGCTGTGAGCAGGTGTTTTAGTCTTTCGAGTTGACGACTATATGCCAGGCTATTCCTTCACATACTGGGATGACTTGATTCCGGGAGGGCTCTCTCTTTCT